ACATTCATTCTTCTGCTTTTCATTGGTCAGGTGGGCCACCCTGTGACCATGTAGTGCAGCAAATGGGGAGGTCATGGCATAATTAAATATTGCCCCCCACCAGGCTTTTTATTTAGCAATGAGAATTCAGGTCTTGCTCAGTGATAAGGATTTGGTACAGTCCCTTCTACCTGTGATTTCGGTGATGTTCTGGAATTGTCTGCATACATGAAATGTGACAATTGAAGTCATTGCTCACGTAATGTGAGAAGAGACAGGGACAAATTACTGCACACATTTGGTAGTGCAGTCTCCTGTAAATATTAAAGTAACTTCAGCTATCTTCTCTTTATGTCACATACAGAGACAGCCTCCCTGGGAATATTTGTTAGTGTACTGCTCACACATATGCAAAAGCCATTAGATGATTTATGTGTTAGGGGGGATATGTCCTATAGATAGTAGTTAGATTTTTAATTAGGCTATTTCATGTAGGTTGCCTTAAACGTATTCCTGCTTTGATACTGGTAGTTAAATTTTTTTGAAATTTTAAAAAATAGTTGAAATAGTGTTACAAATTTATGTAATCTAGTGGATCTAGCTTATTGAAATTAGTTTTACTTCAAGTGTATTGCTAAAGTACCTGGACATTTTCTCAAGGACATCAGCTTAAATTTGGGAGTGACTTGGATTCTTAAAATTTTATTTTAGGGTCACAGACTTTTCTGAGAGCCCAGAAATTTTCCTGTGATTTATCATGTTGAGTGAAAGTGCTCCTGTGGCCGCAAATCTGCTAATAGGGATTTTGTGACCATGAGGACAAGAAATTTTAGTCTTAACACTGAGTCTAAGCTGTGATGACGAAGGCTTGAAATTTTCTTTCAAAAAGATAAAAGGTTGTGTGTGTGTGTGTAATTCTGAATAAAGAAAATGAAATAAAACTTGAGATATGCTACAGTATTTTAATGTAGCCTAAAACTAAGTGGGAGAATTTAGAATCAGATTCTGAGATAAAAAGTTGCAAAAGAAAATGCATATTCAACTTGAGAAGCCTTAATGGGATGTAAGCATGAACATAGAAGAAAATTTGTTCGATCTTTAGTTATTGTGTTGTTTTCCATAGATCTTAAATTTTCTTGCATTGAAGATTAAGGGACTTGGGGGAATGCTGAACAAGGCCATGTTTAGACCAGAAATATATAGAAATATTGATACAGATATATAAATATATAGATTCATTTATTATTATTATTTTATTGATTGATATTTAAAAAATAAGTGCTTATTTTTATTTATTTATATATTATATTATTTTATTTTTTATTTTTGTTATTATTGCTACTATTCTATTCTTGAGCCCCAGACACCTCTTCACAGACAAACTAGAGGTCTGTGAGTGGTATCACTTTTGTTTGATGTTATTGTAGTTTATTTGACTTAATGTCAAAATGATACTCTATTTCATTAAACTGATGGACCTCGGATTTTCTGCATTATTAGTACCATACATAGAGCATTCACTCAGCAGTCTATAGTTTCTTTTAGCATTTGTAACACTATTAACCATTTACTTTGTAGTCCAATTCTGATTAAGATTTTTTACCTACTTTATGAGCTTTTAATAAACAACGTCTATGGAACCTAAAACATCTGCTAAGAGAATTTCTACGCTGAAAGCACAGGGGTTAGAGGAGAGGCGGTAGGACAGGTAATGAGAAAAGCAGGTGCAGGTCAAGAGCATGACTCGCAGAGTGTAACAGGCGCAGGGTCAAGCCTGGACGAGCAGGTACTGGCCTCGGGAGCAGAGCCACAGCGCCGGGCTTCTCTGGGCTTCACAGGCTCTCCGTGATGCCTAAGAGAGAAAACAAAAGCCAAGCACTTAGTATAGTGCCTGGCACCCAGTCCTTCTCAATACATATTAGCAATTCATAATAATAAAATATCACGTCTGAATTATTCTTTTAAAAAGATACATCTCTAGAAACTGTCTCCTCCACTTTGGTAATTTACCATGCTTTCCTTCTCAAAGCTTACATTAAAATACTGTATATCACCTATTTCCTTAAAGAAAAACCCAGTTGCTTTTGAACCAGCTGTAATTGAAGTGGTATCTCCGAGACACCGTGTTTGTGTGTGGTCTGAGGGCCGGTCCGCCAGCTGGAAACATCTCTAGCTCAGTTTCTCTCGTCTTCCTGGTCCTGTGTCACAAAAAAAATAGCTGGCTGACTATCCCAGCATTGCTGTTCTTGTTTGCATAATAAGTATGTGATGAATCGTAGTTCCTTTTTATGAAGTGTTCTGTATAATTTGTAGCCACTATTTTGGGGACAATGAACTGATGAATCAGGACAGTAGGGCTCAGTGGTGGTGGCGTCAGTGACGGAGCTGGCGCAGGCGACACCAGGATTCCTCTTTTCTCTGCCTCTCTTTTATCCTCATTGGTGGGTCGGCTTCCGTCCCTCCTGGGAGACATGCGGTCTCTGCCCCATGGGTTGCTACACTTGCTTTTGGCTTTTCGACCAAAGCTGTTGTTTGGGGACCTGTCTGATTTCTCCCTCGCACCGCTGGTCCCCCAAATCAGTCAACAATCATTCCCGCCCACTTACTACATGCAGGACTCTGAGATGCGCAGCTGTGGCTGCCTCCCTCCCTCCCTGCTGATGAGGCAGAAGGCATTTTCATTGTCAGCTGCAATCTAGTACATCTATGACCAAATATCTGTAAATTACCGGATTAAAAGTTTTTCCGGGACAAAAGACCATGTTTTTTGACACTTGAACCCAGCACCTAATAGCATGCCAGCAGAACCATAAATATTTTCTGAACCCTACTGAATGAGAATTAACTTGTTCAAAGTTCCAGTGAATCAGGCGTTTATATGGAGAAGGGGAATATCAAAATAGTTTCAGGTATTTAAAAGCTCATATATTTCTCAGATAAAGAGGAGAGGTGTATTATATGAAATGTGTTCACACACTCAAACTAACTTGCATATTTTGAATGTAGCAATATGCTAATTCTTTACAAACAATTACCATGAAGGTTATTTTTCCTTTCACTTAAAACACAAGAGCAGTTATTTACTGCTATACTGATATCTAACTGTTCATATTCTTTTGCAATTCAAAACAATTCCAAGAACTTAACTTACAAGGAAAGAAAAATATATGGCAGGAGAGGGAAAACTATTAACAGGAAAAACAAATAAAATAAAAATATAAAAATGGTATTTTATATGGATAGAAAGATGAAAGCTGAGCAAAAGAGAGAACAAAATACAAATAATGTAAATCAAAAACAATACTTAATATGAATGATTAAGAAAAATTGGAGAACTATAATGACAAAATAAGAAAATATGTATTTTAATAATTACACACATTCTACATACTATACACAATATATATACAATACAAAAATACGTTTTATTTCAAGAGAAAACCAGGGAATGTCATGGAAGAATATTGGGTCACACCTCTCTGCTGGTAAGAAAATATTTTCAGACCAGTTTGTCTTTGGAAAATAAATTCTCAAGGCTGGAAGGTGATCAGCGCTGCAGATGCGTCCACCCACCTGACGCCGGTCCTTGTCATCAGCGGCCTGTCACTCGGGGGGGGACTTGACCGTGCCTTTAAAGGTCATCCGCTAAGAGTGGATGAGCACACGTCCCACCCACTGCAGACTGACCCTTCCCTCTCGGGGACACCGGCCTCCCCACCTTCCTGCCGAGCCCGGGGACAGTCCGAGGACCCGGACGGGCCTCATCTCCCCGGATTCCAACCATTTCCTTCTAGAAACACGCGGCCCTCTCCACCCTGCTGACTCCGGTGTCCCTCCTGCAGAGAGGATGAGGTCGCTTCAGTACTTGACAGTGTCGGGGTTCTAGCCTGGGCCCCCCTATCGTGTAAGCTGGGGGTCCCCCCGCCCCTACGGCTGGCCTGTCGCCAGTGCCCAGACGCACGTCCCGAGCCACCCGCCCCCGCGCCCAACACCGCCGCCGGTTCCCGCGGAGCCCAGGGCGCACCCCCGAGTCTGCAGCCCTGCCTGCTGGGCCCCCGGGTTCGCTGCGCCATCCTGCTGACCATTCCCTTTTCACTCCTTCTCCACCTTCCTCGCCTCAAAAGGCTGCGATGCCGTCGTGCCTGCTTCCCATGCGTTTCCTGGGTCATTGGTTCACCCCTGCCTTTTTTCTTTCTTTGGTACATTTTCTTCATGTGGGACATCATCTCCTCCTTTCCCCTGGAGCCTCCTGACTTCCCTGCGCCCAGCTTCCCCTTCGACGGCTTCTTCTCCATCCCGCAGCGCGGCCAGGCCGAGGCCGAGATCCCCTCCCAAGTGGCTGCCCGAAGCTCATGAGATGAACCCCGACTTCCTACTCTGCTAGGACTAGGCTAGCTGCCCTGAATCATTTAGGTCACCGCTTAAACGTTACCAAGCAGCACCTCACACCCCCACCAGCCAGCCACCAACCCTGAAGTCCACATTCCGTGACCTCCTATGTGCCTTTATAGCACATTTTGTCTCATGGACCACCACGCTCTAAGGCTTTTTATTTTATTTTATCTGTATCTCATGCTGAACTGAGCTCACAGGGGGTGGGGAATTTCTGTGTTTTGTTCATACTATGTCTCTAAGATGTGACATGATGCTTACTTACCCCATAGTACGTACTCAGTAAATAATCATTACCTAAATAGATGAATGCATTTGGGAAAAAAATTTTCCAAAAGTCCTTCCAAAGTCTTTTGCAAGCTTGAAATTTATTCCAGTAGCTTTATTATTTTTATTTTACCAGAGAATTCAAAACTAATAACATTGTTTTGACACACATGGGCTTTGTAAACATGACATTAAGAGAAGGACTGTAAATTTCATTGAAGTAAAAAGCATTGAAATTTGCTACTTTGTGAATGTCAGCTAACATAGAGATGTGTGTATTTATATATATAAATCTAACTTATGTACATGCATATGTATGAAATATGAAGCATTCTAAGAGATGTTTGTTTCCGTTTTTGCAGGGCAAACTACACATGTGTCCAGTACTGGTAAGAATTAATATTTGCATTTTACTTACTTTATTTTTGTTGCAAAGTTTGTATATTTAATGTTGTTAGAATTTTCTATTATTATCTAATGGAATGATTTCATAAGGAGAAACAATAATTATGGATGATTCTTGACATTCTCTTGTTTTTAATATTCCTGCTTATAAGATATAGTTTGATTACTACCTAAACATACTATTTATATATGTATTGTTGTGTATAAATTATAGATTTTCTTAAACTTGACAGTAAATGACATGGTAGGATTCCATCTCTTTTTAAATGTTAACACTACAAATAAGTTATATCACAAAATTTTATAGGTCAAGAATGGGTTAAGGAATTATCTGAGAAATTGTCATTCTAAATATATATATATATACACGCAGACATATATTCTTTCAAAAGAAAATCTTCGAGCCTATTAAGATATTTTGTAATAATCATTTCCCAATTCTGCTCTCTCACTGAATAGTCTTAAGAAATGTCCTAATCCTGAGATAAATTAAATTTAAGCAATGAATAAATAAATTCTTATATCTACCATATAAAATGAGAGGGACAAGTCAGATTGTATCTCTTAAAAATTAACTACATCACTTAAATGTAATTGAAAATGTATTTTGATTTCCTGATCAATCATACGGCTGGCGGTTATGCATCAAGTCAAGTCTGATTTCATGACTGCAGGGCTCAGTTGTCACTTGAAATGCACATTTAAAATGTTCTGAGAACTGGGTTATTAAAGGAATTATTTTTATAGTTAAATGAAAATTCATTCCGAACTTTGGAAACTAAGAACTACGCAAACAGTAACAGAAAGCACCTGAATCTGCAAAGGAGTGTATTCTCTTATGTTTTAAAAGATATGGTATTAGAATTGTATAGTTTTGTAATATGGCAGTGAGGTCTTATAAACCGTACGGAAGTCAATAATGCCTCGCGGACTAGGGTGGGTTTATGCCACATCTTCACGTGGGACTTAGCATCTCTACCTTTCATAGGAAAGTTCATCTCAACCCTACAACCTGCTTCTTTTTACAGGAGGGGAATGGGACTGGGGTGGAATGGGGAGTGAATGTTTAAAATGGTAACTGACTCATCACCTTGTCGAGAGCGTTTCCACATCTCTGCACTGACTCTCTTATAAGGAGCCTCCAAATGATGAAACCAGGTAAGTCAAGACAGTGACCCTCACTGAGGACACAAACGTCTCTCCCAGACATGGGGCCAGCGAGAGCGTCATCAATGGAAACTCAAAGCACCTCTGCGGCAAGAGCGCGAGGACAGTGCATGTCAGCACCTGAAGCATGTTTTCTAATCCTAAATAAAATATTACTTATTAAACTAGGGAACGTGCGCTGAGCTTAAGATGTATGCAAGGATATTAAGGCTTCTAGACAGGAGGGTGATCCTCCCAACACCTGTTCTCCGCACGCCCTGGACTGAAGTCGTTTGACTCCAGGTCACCCCCAGGAACGCCCCTCCGCAGGCGGGACAGGGCTGTCCTGGCGGGAGCTCAGAGTGATTTTCCTCCAGTCTCTTTGTAATTCGAGTCTAACAAAAGACTGGGGGTGCTGATAAAGGAAAGATGCTTCAAGATTTCTTTCAGAGCAAAAGGGGTCATTGAAAACCTGCCAACACCAAACTTCAGTTTTTTTTAGTTAACCTGAAAACAGCAAGCTAATGATTGGCCATCTGTAACAGTGAAAGTGAATTAATGCTACTGGACAGAACTTTAAGCGCCTCCCTCCTCCCTCCCTGCCTGTCGTCCTTCCTTGCTCTGGCGCTGCTCCCCTCCCCCTGCCCTGTTTCCTGCAGCATCGAGCAGGTGAGAGAAGGCGAAGGTAGAGGATGGTTTCACGCAGAAGACGGAAAGCGGCTCCTTGCCTTTTACGTGGTTGGGTGTGTTGCTATGTAATTATCAGTTGGTTAGTAAACATATTTATTTGTGAGTTATTAGGTTATGAAATTCCAGAGGTTGAAGTTCTTCCTTGGAAAATAACACAGAACAACCGCACTATCACCTTGGATTTCTGCAGTCACGTAGCAGTCGGGCAGTGTTCCATGTGCCCTGCACGGGGCATCTCCCCATGGCTTGCTTAGATGGTTTTTATCTGTATTTAGTGAAAGTTGGTTTCCATTTACCTTTGGCATAAATGAATGAAGCTGGGACTGTGTCACTCCTGCCCCCTTTCTAGGTCCTTCCATTCTCGCCTTCGCCATTTTCATGCTGTTCCTTCTTACCCAGTCCGGTCGGACTGAATTCATAAAATACGCCTACGATGTAACACAATTTTTCGCTAAGTATTGAAAACACAAATTTTGCTATTGACAGAAATGAATCACATTAAATATAGAAAATGGAGACATTTTCAATTTCTGGATAATCCCAATATCCAGAGACCACAGTGGGGTGTTTTTTTTTTTTAAGATACAAATTTGGTGTATTCTCCCCATTCTTTTGTAAAGAATTACAGTTTCTCAGTAGGAGAGCACAAAAAACCCTGAAAGTCCTTTAATACGTGGTGGTGCTCCACCTCGCAGGAGGCGTTCGCCCTTTGTGAGCTCCTGTCAGCTCGGCATGTTCCTGTTTCACCAGCACCTTGTCCCATTTTTCTTCTCTAAAGTGAATTCAAACTGTGGAAAATGATATTTCAGTGTATCTCAAATCGTGTTTCTTTTGAAAACACATTTTTGTAGACTGGGTCATTTTTGAAATTTGTTTTCCAGTCTTTGCTTTGCTTGGATTTGAGTTATTAAAAGAAAAATTCAGTGTATATCTAGAACTTTAATCTTTTTTTACTGTTGGAACCCTAGCCTTCCTAGCAATCTACTCCCAACTTCATCTACCTCTATTTTTTTCTTCATTGATAAGTCTTTTACAATCTCTTTTAATCCTCTTTATACATTGTGCTTCATTCTTCTGAACCCAGTTGCTTTGGGTGGTTGAGAACCCAGCAGACAGAGGGCAGGGAATAGCTGTTTTCAACTTCGTTTCTCTATTTTTATCTTTAGCCACAATTCTACAGCTTGTTTTATAACTAAGTCTAGACAGTATGTCTACACGTCTATAGGCATCTGTATTTTATCCATGCATGGGTATGTACATAATATGTCTGTATGTATATGCACTTACAAATATTCACATACACACTATATACAGGCAAATACTATCCATCATATCTGTATGGTGTGTATAGGGAGTTAATAAACTCAGATGAGTATACGTTTCAGGAGATGATTCACATATTTATGTTTTCCTTCTGTCTCCCATGAATGTAACAGGGCTGAATGGAAAAGAAAAGTCCAGTACTGCACCTCCAGATGGCCCCTTACCTGCTCACACCACTGCATCCTCACCCACAAGCACCTCTGAAAGAGGAAATGACTCCTCAGAGACCACGTCTCCTCTTACCCCAGACATTACTTCCACCGAAGTGTCCCTGAGCTCTTTGGAAAACGCTAGTATTGCTGATGCAACAGGTTGGCACAGAGAGGTTCACTGATGTGGGGTTGGGGAAATGTGTCTCTCTTTTGTTTTGAATTCTTAAGTTACCAGAACAATTTTTCTTTATACTTTGTTAGAGTTTCTGTATATGTGATTGCATCCTGGCATATGAAACATAGGACAGCTAGGTGCTGTGAAATACTGGGCGACTGACGTCATGGATGCTGGTTGTCAGGGAGATGGGGTGGGGAGAAGGGGCGCCCCCTAACTAACGCCAGGGAGCCCGTCTCCCCACTCCCCTCTGGTGGGCACACTCTGCCCCCTCTTGCGGCTCCGGCCACCGTGCTGCTCTGCGGCCCTGACAGGTCAGATCGCCCTGCTGCAGGACTCCGCCCCGCTGGCCCCCCCTGGCTGTCCCCCCAAAGTGATCTTCCTTCGTTTCATTCCAGATTCTCAATATCAGAAGGTTATTGGAGACACAGACAATCTATGTTTTAGAAAAGCCACACTGAAGAGTGATGATCCAGCTTTGCTATCTGGACTTCCTCCAGGGATATTCGCGGGGCTTTTCTCAGTTGGGTAGTCAAGGCTGTGAGCGCTGGTGGTAGAATTCAAGGTCGCGGGGCCTTCGCAGCAAACCATCAGAGTGACGTGGGGGCTGCTTTTCCCAAAAGAAGACCACAGGGCTCCTCAGAATCCCAGCACATCACTGACTCGCTCACCCTGTTGAACATTAGTTCAGGACTCGGCACATGAGTTGCAAAACATCGATATGCAAGTGTGTGTGTGTATAATGTACTTTATATACACTTTACACACACACAATGAAATTATTATCTCCCCAAATCCTACTCTCTAAAGATGGAATTTTAACCATGGTGGTAGATCGTCCAGACTCCGGGCATTTGACTCGGCGAGCGGGTGAGGGCATGCAAACATGTCCCCACTTACTTCTCAACACTAGGTATTTTCAGTCTTTTTAAATGTTGCCAGTATAATAGTTAAAAATATTTCATTCTGATTTCCATTTTCTAAGATTTGCCATAATGCAGATCCCATTTGCATATACCTTCGGGCCCTCGTATGACTTGGGTAGGTGTCTGTGACTGTCTAGCCCATTTTGCTGTTTCTCCCTGTCTGTGTGGTTTGTAAGAGACCCTTGCAGACTGGGGGATCCTCTCCCTGCCCTGCCTCCCGAGGGAGGTCCGGCCTTCAGTGTGCGGGGCTGATGCGGAATCGGAGGCTCAGAGGGGCCGGAGGGCCCCGCACAGAGGGCAGGTGGAGAGGGCGCGGCACGCAGCCCCCACGGCGGGGAGGGCGCCGAGGAATCGTGACCACAGTTACATTGCATTTTCAAAAACTGGAAAAAATACTTGATGCTCATATTCCCAAACGCCAAGACTCACTCTCTCCAGCGTCTCTGTCCATCATTCCAGCGCAAAACGTCCCTCCCCTGCCTTCCGAGGTCAGCGGCTGCATCACGTCCCGACGCCGTTTTCAGCCGGGGAGGGACGCGTGTTCCCGGCCGGGGAACCGCATGCCCGCGCCGACCGAGCGGGAGCAGGCAGCGTGCAGGTCGGACGGGCAGCTGGACTCGCTGCTGCGTGCAGGTGCTCAGACCGTTCCTGGGCGTCAGATGACAGCAGGCGAGCCACAGACCAGACCCCACACGCGGCCCGAGGACCGCCCCGCCCCCCCCGCCGTCCGTCCCTGCTGCCTGGGAACCTTGTGCGGAGATCTGGAGATTCCAAGCTGTGGACGGCCGGGGCTGTAAAGGGACCAAGGGCGGCAGGCCTGCGGGGCCCATCGCTGCCTGAACCCGTCTGCTTTGCTCCGCCACTGGATTCTTCCTCTCAGTGCGGCTAATTCCACCGATTAAAATCTATTAGGATTAATTCATCTGATTATGATCGGAGATGCCACTGCCAAGCCGTCGCTGAGGTCACCCACACGAGGGGAAAGTAGTTTTCGTAGGAGGAGAAGGTTGGGAATTTGGAGAGGGTGGGGGGACCTCGGCGGAGCGAGAGCACGAGGGGCTCTGGGACAGGCGAAGAGGACAGGCCCGTGGAAGGGGGAGCAGAAGAGAACGCAGGAGAAGGCCAGAGACAGGCCTCACTGGGCTCAAGGCTTCGCAGAGGCCGGTTCTGTCCTCTACATGCTTTTTAAAGGAAAAGGATAAACCTTGCGGCTCCCTCCTTGTTCTGTCGGACCCCTCCTCTGACGATCTGGTACTAAGACCTGGGGTTCATGTCATTCATTCTGTTCTATGGTTCAGTTCAATTTGAGCTGAGAACCTCAGAATTTTGGAAGATGCAGCTTCACTTCTAAGGGATGCGTGTGAAGTTCGGATGGTACCCAGTTGGTAACTGGAGGATGCTGGCATCAAAGCTGTATCCGGAGTGTGCATGCGTGTTGTCACCGGGCTGAACCACCAAGGATCTCTCTGCAAACAGAAGATGTATCTCATATCACCAAACCGATGACCCCAGGGACCCCCACAGACAAGCTCAAACGGGGCCAGTGTGTATTTCTCTTGCTTTGGCCATGGCAACGAGCATAGTGCTAGTGGTCTAGTAGGCACCCAGTTAAGACACCTTGATTGCTCGTGCTGTGATTCTGGGTGGGACCTCTGGGGGAAGTGGTAACATGCATTAGATGCTTTGGAGCTTGACAATGAAAAGTCCCAACCAAACCTGATGTGTGCAGTTTCTTCAGCTACCACGCTTGATTCTGTACCACTTAGTCCCGATGTGATTGTAAAGTAAGGGAATGATGTCGGTGTCACATGGAAGTGCTTCAGTTCTAAATCAGTTTGATTTTTCCTGGCAAGCAGATTCTACACAGTGAAAGTAGAATTGGAAAAAACTTCAGCTGGAAAGGAAGAAGAATGCTGAGCCCAGCAGCTGTGCCAGCAGGAGCCCATTCAGCTCTATTTTAAGAAAACTAGAACTAAGCAGCTGCCCCCAGGGTTTTCTCCCCAGAGAGGCCCACCGCATGGGACACTCAGCACGTGGCAGGTCGCACTTCCTCCTGTGCCAAGAACACCGCCTGTACACGCAGAGCTCTGCTCCCACCCGCGCGGGCAGTCTCAGCACCGCAAACCAGCTCCCCGCGGTATCACCTTGGGCATTCCCAGTACCACCCGAGGCGGCCCTCGGCAAGGAGGCCCAGCCACCCTGGGCTGTCGGGGCTATCTTCTCAGGTCTCAAATGCTTTATAAGTCTGTGCTCTGATTACAAAGCTGCATAGGTTTTGAGCTGTCTGCCTTAAACCAATCTCTCCGTGAACCTTGCTGTGTTCTGTCTGGCTTGGCAGAGCACACGCATGGTGGAACAGCAGAGGTGTGGAGCAGCAACCTTAGCTCGCTCCCCTGTGCATGCTGGCTGGCTGGTCATTGCCCTCGCGTGCACCGGTGGGTGACGGCGCTGATGGCTTTTCTGGTTGCAGGTGTTCCGGAAGAGAGGACTCCACTCAGCACCTTGCTCGCAGACACAGCTTCCACACCGGTAGCCCCCCTCAGCCCTGCACACACCAGCTCTGCTGCTTCACCTTCACGCACCCCCAGCACCCCCAGCACCGCCAACTCCTCAGGTTTGACTATGAAGCTTCAGGCGCCTCGGGTTACAGATAAGGAAATGGAAACTGAAAGTTCAAGGCAGCAATTTTATTTCACACCAACTATTATTTGCACATTTCCTGTTTTACACATTTTCACAGATTGATACTAAGTTATGCAAAAGAAACGTACCAGTGAGCTTTTTCTGGGCATATTTCATTGTAGCATGCAGATTGCAGAAGTTCATGGCGAAGGGGAAAGGTAATAGACGTTGACGTCATATAGCCCTGGGATCGAATCCAGCCTCCTTAGCTTTCTAGCTGACATTCGCACAAGTCACTCATAACTGCTGTGCATCTGTTTCCCTTCTGTAAAAATGGAATAATCATTTCACGGGACTGATCTGAGTGTTAAAAAGAGTAAGTAGCATCCTTTCCACAGTTAAAGTGAGGAGACTTGTAGTTGGAAGGGAAGGAGCAGGCTGGGGGCGACTGCACAGTGGGTAAGAATTCCACCGAGGAATGCACAGTTTTCTCTGAACTTGTACAACACCAAGCTCAGACCATTTGAACTGTTAGTCATCTTTGTAGATCATTAGTTTATTTGTAGATAAATCTTTGATTCTTATTTTAAAAACAAGCAAGTGTCAATTCAAATGAGGGCTCCTACTGCAAAGGCTGGGTCAGGGAATCACCGTTGCTCAGGGGTGTTCCCTGGCCTTTCAGTATGAGGAGGTCATTAACTTCTACTCTTCTGTTCATTTCTTTGCAGATCTGAGCCTTCCCACCCCTGCATCACCCACTCTGAGCCTTGCAGCCGGCACTCTCCTCACAGACACCCCCACAACAATAGGTGACAACCTTACCCCCAGTCATGCAGCCACACCAGCGCCCCGAGCCAGGGCTGTGCTCACAGAAGGGTCTCTGTTCACTTCATCCCGGGCTCCTTTCTTTGAGGGGTTCGATGGCGTGTTCTAGCCGTGAAGGCCATGGAACGGCCGTCAGCCAAAAAGGCTGAGACAGGCAGCGCAGCAGCTGGGATGAGGGCCCAGCGCTGGGGCGGTGGCCTGTCGTGTCGCTGCAGTCACATGCCCCAGGAGTCGTGTGCTGCAGGGAGACACGTAGAGAAATGATCAAATATACTAGAACATATTCCTCTAAGAGCGGGTTTAGGTCTCAGTATGAAGAACAACAGTTGTGCCAAGTGGACTATGCATTCCGAGGGGTGAAAGGCAGACAGGTGCTCCCAGGGATCCCGTTCTTCAGGGAGACAGGCTCACCGAGATACACCTCAGTTTGTGCAGAGAGTGACCTGTCACCCCGGGTCTAGAATGTGTGCGAAGAGCTTACAGGTGCCACAGGAGAGTGAAGTGGCCCTTGCCATGTTCTGTTTTTGTTTTAAACAGAACTCTAAAGGGTATAATCATTTCAACTACTTTGAGAGGAATCGAGGGCATATGGGCCTTTAAAATGTTTTTGGCTTCATAACCAGATGTGTGCCCCAAAAGTCCTAATATGATTATGATCACAATCATGTTTATTGGATAAATTCATGAAAGTGGCTTGAAGCACTAGCTCATTAGTGTATAATATTTGGAGTTTTGCGATTAAAACACTGTACTAGGTACTGTACATCCTGCATTATCTGATAACCCAACTCTATGAATATTACAGTTTCTGAAATTGAAACATTGTAAACTCCCATTCCTAAAGTGACTATCGCAGAGATACTCTAAAATGAAGTTTTTTTAATTTGCATGCTCTTTTCTTCCTTTACAGCTCCTACTACACCTAAGCAATCGTGTGGTAAGTCTGTTTATACCTACAGGCCGCACATATCATTGTAGAATAGCGCTTAATTATTTCTGAGCTGCCATCACCCACCACCGAGCTAAAGTTACTAGTTTTATTTTCTCACCAATGATAAGCTCCAAAATCTGAAGAGCCTGTGTCCTTCAGGGCCAAGGAGCTTCGATATCATATTCAGACCCAGTTTTGAGTGCCCAGATCAATGGTTGCTAGCTGAACAACTTTGGTGAGACCACTTAAGTTTGGGTATTTATGAAATGGAATAATAGCAAGTTCATTTGGGGTGGGGGCAGAGGCAGGGATTCTGTGAAATGACAAATGTAAATGTGGATAAGACCTCAAGGCTTCTCAAGAAGAAAATGATCTGCTTCTGTCCCTCTTGTTCTCTGTCTGTCTCTGTCTCTGTCTCTCTGTCTCGCCAAGTTCAGCTCAAAGCAGAAGCTTGAGACAGTTTGCAGCCATCCCGCCCCCATCTTCCTCCTGCCCTGTGGGGGAAGCAGAGTCCCTGCTCACGCCCGGGCTCTCTCCGGATGTTTCTGATCCTCACGGCTGAAGTGCCTGCCTTCAGAGGCTCTCTGTATGTTTTCTGTGAAGATGCGAGTCCGAACGTCTCCTTGGTCAGTGTGACTCCTTGGGATCAGGTTCCTGCCTTGTCGCTTCTTCGTGCTCTTCCCTTAAGGAACACGGAGCCACTCCGTCTCTCCAGCGCGCCGTGTTTCCTCCCGTCCTGCGCTCCTTCTGCTCGCCTGGAAGCGTCCTCTGACCGAAGCTCCGCCCCATCTGCACCCACTCCCATCTGCCGCGCCCATGTTTGTCTGTCCTGCTCAGTTTTAAAGTGCGCACTGAGCCACCTCCTCCGGGAAGCCTCTCCTATCCCTGCAGTCTGAGTGGATTTCTCTCCCTCTTTACTCCCGTATTATTTTGTGCATAATCTTCTTTTAGGTGTTTACATGTCTTCTGATATTCGTGCCAGTATCTGGCTCCACTTCCCACTTCTAAAAGCTGATCATTTGTATTCCTAGGCTTGGGACAGTGTCTTAAACATAAAAAGGGCTTAATGATTTTTGTTGGGTTAAAAGATGAATGATTAATATTTCTTGAAAAGATATTATTACCAATCAACGGGATTTGTTTAAACAAATGTGAAACTGTGAGATGATGCTAAGAAAAGAGCCTAGGATAGTAATAAAATCACTGTCAATGATTCTATATAAGTAAAGGAATAATGAGGCCTGTGGTCTCTACATGATTAATGTGTCATGAATTTGCAGAAACACATAATCAAGAACTACATTTTAGAAAGCAAGGGAAGTTCTAGACCAAGAAGAAGAAATTTCAGGGGTGTCCTTCGTTTGTACATCCATTCAACAAATGGCTCAGACTAGGGAGCGTCCACTAGGGATGAGCTGTGTGCAGAGACCTGGAGTTGTGGCGATGAGCAGAGGAGACTGGACTGTTTTCACAGGACACGTACGCAGTCCAGTTAGGGAGACAGACATTAACCCAGTGATCACCCAGATATGAGCATCTGCACTGCAGACCTGAGCAGGGAGAGGAGATAAAGGGAATCGGGAAAGAGTGATCTGGCGGCACCTTCTCTCCACGCTCCTGTGGATATCTTGTTAATGATCGGATGTTTTTGAAAGTTTATTCATTCTGAAAAATAAAAATGAGAAACCTCACTGTTCTGTTATTTTCTTTCAGCTGACAAATTCACAGAAATCTCTGTGGACTATGAGTATGACTATGAAGATAAGTCCTATAGAGCCAGACTGAATGCCAAGGACAAGGTGAACTGCACAAACGCCGCATGTGTGAACAATGTGCTCCACAACCTGACAGAATGCGAACATAAGCACATTACTATATACAACAACTTATGTGCTGAACCATACAAGAATGTGATGTTGGATGTACCACCAGGTAAGGGCAGTTTGATTTCTAGTTGTATATTCACAAAAACGGTACACTACCCAAGCGTGGGCTGTTCTAGGTCCCAGATGTCCGTCAGGTGCGAGAGCCCGGCTGAGGGGAAGGCGGCGTGTGAGCAGGGGCAGGGGGCGGCCTTCCGCCCTCCCAACTCGCGGAGAACCGTAAACTCGCCTGAACCTTCTGGTTTTAGCCCTCTGCCCTCTCTCCACCTCTTTTGCAGGGTGGTTCGTGAAGATCACGTACAGTTTATCCTGCGGAGACATAATTATCCACGAGCTTTCTTACTTCTTCTCTACTTAAGTCATTAGCTATATATGTGCACATGTTTATCCTTTTAAATACAAGTATGTCTGGAATATACTGGGGAAAATCACAAAGTCAAGGTGTGATGTCTGTGGAAAGAACATTTTTTCATAAAAAAAATAAAAAAGACAGTTGTAGTTACATTAATGGGATCTGGGTGGTTTTGCCAGCTCAGCAACTACCCAGGGAGAGGTGGGGCCAGGGCAGCGCGCGACGCCACAGAAACATGTCCTCCTGGGTGCCCTTTGGGAAAGGGACTCAGGGACTGTGAATTTGTCAACTCTCTCACATCATTTAATCATTAAAGATCATTGATCAATTTATTTATTAACATTTAACTAGGTTAAAATCTGATGTTTTTTTGAAAAATGCCATTTAGTTTATTCATTTTCTCAAAAAATTACAGAAACAAATTATCTATTAGAAAAGGAAAATGACAATATAAAAAATTGCATTCCCCAAGAAAGAAGCTCCCATATTCTGTGTCATAATCATTCAATGAAAAATTAAAGAACGAATGAAAACATTGAAGATAGGAATAAGAAAACAAAAGGGAGTGCTTTAAAATACGCAAAGAAAAATGCAATTTTATTTAGACATTTGCTTGGGTGCCATTTTTTAAAAGATAAATTCTAAATGAAATGCTACTCAAATATGATGTTAAAAAAAGAATGAACCAAATAATCAAGAAATGCAAAACCCTTATTAGACTCGTTCAAGAGGAATCTAAGTCTGAATCGTGAATCATTTCAGTGACTGTAATTGAGCACACGGTACACAATATAAAATGGTGATCATCTGTTTCTGTATCTTCTTCTTGACAGATCCTAACAAATTTCGGTTGACTAACTGTACACTGGATGAAAAAGCAAATACTTCTATTTGTTTAAAGTGGGTGGAAGAGGGCTTCAGTTGTAAAAGAAGTAAAATCACATACAAGTTTAAATGTGGTAAGTAGATAGCATCAGTGAGAGACTTTGGGAGGTGGAAAGTTGTCCTAGACACCATCTAATTCCGTCACACACACACCCCTTTCTCTGTCTGTACCTTGCCTCCCAGGCTTCCCCCAGGACCCCCGCCCCCCCTTTCTTTCCTTCTCTCTCTCTCTGGTCTGTGACACGATTGGAGTCGAACCATCGCATTCCCTATGCCACTCAAATTCACAGGAGACAAATACTCCCCTTGAAGAATCATCTTTGAAATATTAAAAGTGATTTTACGAGAATTTTCTTGGCGACTGTTATACACAAGGCTTGTTGAAGAGATTATCTGAGAAGGGTGTCACACACGTAGTATGAGGGTGAAAGAAAAACAGATGTAAGATGGAGTGATTCCAGAATGTCCGCGGTCAGCTCTCCACCAACACAATTCATAAACAACTCTGAGAACAATTTAGGTGGGAGAAAAGTAGAAATCAAGTAGTAAGTCCTGCTAGGAATATGTTTGGGTTCCTAGGGCAGGAGGCTTTCTTTTAAGCATTAGTGAGTTAATGATTTCTTACTTCTTTTTATTTGAATTACTGAGGTGGAATCGCCCTCCTGGCATGAAGCCATCTGCTAGGCCATACTTGGCAAGACAGACAGACACACACACACACACACACACATACACACACGCACACAGGACAGAGCACAGCACCTTTTCCTCCTTATGGGAAAGATGCACGGCTGTGATATGAACAGTATGAGGGGCACAAGAGCAAGCCCATGATGGACTGGTGACCAGACAGAGATGTGTCCAGAATATCTGTGAGGCAGAGGCCGACTCAGGTGCACCCTCTGCTTCTGGACAGAGAGCAGTAACTGACGCCTCATTCCCTCAGTCAAAGGCACTCTCAAATTTAGTATCCTCCCTAATTCTTTCTTTAAAATTGACTGTTTCAAAATCATGCATTATTATAGCAGTTTTCAAGACCTTTTGCTTATTATTTTGACTATTTGCCTAAGTTTTTAATCTAATATGTATGTTAAATACATATAGACATGAATTCTAAAAAGATTAAGTATGATATCCTGTATTAACATACTCACATGTGATGCTCCTTTCAGGTAATATGAGCACTAATTCCTCTGATGCCGGAAAGGTTGAATTTGAAAACCTTCATCCCAAAACTAATTACAGTTGTGTTTCAGAAATACTTTATAACCACCATAGATTTAATAGCCAAGAAATAATTATTGAAACAGATTTTGGAGGTAAGTGTGTTATTTTACATCTATATGTAAAATTTCTCCTCTTTTCATATTCTTATGATTCTTTAAGAATCACAGAAAAATGTTAGGGATTTGTAGAAAGGGTTTCAGATAATGGATTGGTATCAGTTTTTAAAGTAGAATTCTGAAATAAATGACAGAGGATCCAAGCCTTGCACAAATGTGTCTGTGTGTGTGTGTGTGTCTGTGTGTGTGTGTGTGTGTGAACTAGAGGCTGCTGTGAGGTTGTGGTGTACACAAAACTCTGAGATTCATGACCCGTTTTGTTCTCTCATGTCCCATTCCCTCCTGTAGCATTGTTCCCTTGGTGGTGTCCTGATGCACCTTCCCCGTATCAAATCCTGCCTCTGACAGAAGTGAGCACATAAGCCAATAAAAATACAGTGTTAAATCTAAGAATTGGTAACAAATGATTATTATTATTAAATTACTATTACTAAAACACTGGCATTATAAATAATAGAAAGACTATAATAACTAATAACAAATTGAAAAATAAAATTCTGGAAAATAATAGCATTTGGGAGAAGGAACAGAGTAGGAAGGCGGAAAGCACCAAGATTCCACTCTGATTCAGTGCAGGTACAGAGGTTCCAGCTGGATTTAAGGTTCTGCTAGAAAAATATTGTTATTATATGTAATAATTTATGAGTAACCACTGAAAAAATAAGAAAGAGATAGATGGGATTGCCTGTAAGCAATGCCTATAAGTAATAAAAGCAAGTTATAGAATTAAAAAAATCCACATGTTAGAGGAGGAAGATGAGAAAGAGGAAGGAGAGGGGGTGTGGGGGAGGGAGAGGGACAGAGAGAAAGGAAGTTAGAAGCGGGAGAGGAGGAGGCAGGGGCACAGGGGTGGGCAGGAGGGGAGACGAGATGCCAGGCAGAAACAGTAGGTAAGACAGCAGAGACACACAAAAGCCGCTATAAATATGAACGGCCTAAATTCGCCTTTGAAACACAGCTACTCAGATTTCAATAAAGTATAGATGTATTTGGGGGAATTTGGTAGCCTTAAGGAAGATCCACGATATTGTAGGGGAAAATTTATCACTTTCCTATACATCAAATGAAAATCAGTGGAGAGTGCTTATCAAAAAACAAGAAACAAACGCAAAAGTAACAGAAGGGAGAAAAATAAAAATTCAGAGTAAAAATTATTGAAAGAGAGAACAAACAAAAATACTAAGAATTTATTAACACATTTAAATAATTGTTTTTGAAAGGAATAAAAATTAGGCCTCTGACAAGACAATCCTTCCCCATGGATGAAAATCAAAACTACAAATACAGTATAAACTTTACAGGTTATAAAGCAACTTTGCATCAAATATGAGAAATCAGATAAAATGGATGATTTTCTAGGGCATATGAATTGCAGATGTTTATCTAGGTAGTATTATAAAATAGGAACTAAAATATGGCACAATGTCTGTCAATACACTTTACACTCACTGTCTACTTATCTTACCTCCAACAATGCGATACCACCGCACACATAGTAGAATGTCCAGAACGCAGAACAGTCGCAACACCAAACATTGGCAAAGATGTGGGGCAACGGCAACTCCACTCACTGCTGGTAGGAATGCAAAATGGTGCGGCCACTGTGGAAGACACGGTGACAGTTCCTACAAGTCTAAACGTACTTTTGCCATAGAACACATCCCTCACACTCCTTGCATGATTTACTCAAAAGAGTCAAAAACTTACATCCAACAAAAACTTGCACACGCATGCTTATGGCAGCTTTATTCATAACGGCCAAAACTTGGAAGCAACTGAGATGTCCTTCCACAGGCGAACGGATAAACAGTAGTATATCCACATAATGGAACATTATTCAACACTAAAAAGAAATGAGCTACCAAGCCACGAAAAGACATGGACAAACCTTAAATAGATATTACTAAGTCAAAGAATAGCCCATATGAAAAGGCTACGAACTGCATGGTTCCAACTATATGATATTCTGGAAAAGGCAAAACTCTGCAAACAGTGAAAAGATCAATGGTTGCCAGGGTTGGAGGGGAGGAAGGGATGGATAGGAAGAACACAGAGGATTTTTAGGGCTGTGAAAGTATTCTGTATGATAATGTAATAATGGATACATGTCATATGATATATTTGCCCAAACCCATAGAATGTATAACACCAGGAGTGAATCCCGGTGTGAACTATGGAGGCTGGGTGATAATGACGTGTGAATGTAGGTTCATCACTTGTAACAAACGGACCATTCTGGTGCAGATGGTGGTCATTGGGGCAGCTATATGTGTGTGAGGGCAGGAGCTGTACTGGATATCTCTTTACCTTCCCCTCAATTTTGCAGGGAACCTAAAAAGTGCTCTAAAAATGTAAGGTTTTGATTAAAAAATATATTAAGATTTATCCCAGTAATGCATAATCCTTCAGACTTAGAAAAATAACAATTGAAGCATTTTACATATTATTTCATTCAGGAAAGAGGGAGGATTTTTGCAAGACCATTGTGAGATAAACCATGTTGCTAAAAAAAAAATGTTTAAATTCACCTACTAAATGATTCTCATTTAAATTGTACAATTCAGTGGTTTTTAATATTTGAGTTGTACAATCATCACCAGAACCAACTTTAGAACATTTCATTACACCAGAAGAAACCCCTTGTTTGTTAGCAGAAACTTCCCACTTCCTTCCTACCCCTTATACCTAGGCAATCACCAGTCTCCTTTCTGATTTGATGAATTTGCCCATTCTGGGCATTTCATATAAATGGAATCATAACTATGTGACTGGCTTGTTTCACTGAGCCGAATGTTTTCATGTCGCATCCCTATTGAAACATATCAATACTTGTTTCTTTATGGCCTAATAATATTCCACTTTATGGATACACCTTTTTTGTTTGTTCCTTCATCATTTAAGTGATATTAAGGTTGTTTCCACTTTTTGGCTATTATGAATAATACTGCTATGAACATTCAGGTATAGGTTTTTAAGTGGGCATATGTTTTCATATCTCTTGTGTTTATACCTATGATTGGAATTTTGGGGTCATATGACAACTTTATGTTTTGCATTTTAAATAATTGCCTATCTGTTGTCCAAAGTGGATTTCATCATTTTACAGTCCCAACAGCCATGTGTGGGAGTTCAAATTTCTCCACATCTTCACCAACTCTCATTATTGTCTGTCTTTTTTATTAGTCATCTCACTGGGTGCGATGTGGCATCTCATTGTGATCTGGGTTAATGAGTAATGATTTGGGGCATAGCTTCAGATGTTTTCATCATTTGTATATTTTTATCTGTTAACATTACTATGATGTGATATGGGGCTCCAACTTCATTCTTTTGATACAGCTATCCAGTCGTTCTAGAACCATTCACTGAAAAGACGATTACTTCCTCATTGAATGTTCTTGCCACCTTGTCAAAACTTAATTAACCATAAATATGGGCCTATTTCTGTACTCTTGGTTCAACTCCCGTTAGTCTGCATTACCTATCTGTATGCCAATACCACACCGTTAATTATTTTTGCTTTGTATGAGTTTTGAAATCAGAAAGTGAGTCATCCTTCAACTGTCTTCTTCTTCAAGATTGTATTGGACATCTGATAGGTCCCTTGAAATTCCATGTGAATTTTAGGATTGACTTGTCAATTTCTACAAAGTCAACTAGGATTCTGACAGGGGTTGTGCTGAATCTGTAGATCCATTAGTTTAGGTCTTCTTTAATTTGTTTAGAAAACATTTTCTAGTTTTCAATGCACAAGTCTTGCATGTCTTTTGTAAAATTTATGCCTGAGTTTAACTTTATTCCTGTTTATAATGATAGTGTTTTCTTAATTTTATATTCAGATTGTTTATTGCTAGCATAGAGACATACAAATGATCTTCTGTATTGGTCTTGCAAACTGCCACATTGCTGAACTTGTTTATAAATTGCAATAGTACAGAATTTTTGACAAAATATACTAAAGGTGTTTCTAAATTTCATGTGGAAGGGGTAGCAGGGGACTCAGGGAGCCACCTGAAGCTATGTCACCTGATAACCCCCTAAAACAATGCGAGACTGCACAGAGAAAAATCAAGCTGCATAAAAACTACATCCACAGCATAACTAGAAAATTTTAATACTCTTTGGATATTAAATGTTAAATTTATCAGTCCTTATAAATCAATGTTACCAAATAGGAATCCCAGGAAAAAAAAATAATTTTTAAAAATTAAAGTGTGAAGGCAATTCAATAGGGGAGAAGAGAATTTTTTCACCAAATGGTCCAAGTTTCCCTAGGAAAAAATGAACAGTCCTTATCTCTTAACAAGCACAAAAATGAACTCAAAATGGATTTCAGATCGAAATACTAAACCTAAAACTATAAAATGTCTAAACAAAGATGTTAGAGAAAATTTTTTGCTACTTTAGTCAAAGATTTCTTCAGACATTAAAAGCAAGATTCATAAAATAAAAAGAAATTAAAAATTGGACTTCATCAAAATTAAACATTCCTGCCCTTTGAATAAAGCCATTAAGGGAAAAAAATACCAAACCATACACGGTGAAAAAACATTCAGTTAATGTTTTCCACAAAGAAGTTCTTTCTAGAATACATAGAGAATACTTCCAAATACGAAACAAAATGTTAACTAATCCAATTAAAAATGAGCAAACATTTTCAACATATGCTTTACAAAAGAAAATATGCAAATGGCCAATAAGCACATAAAAAGATCCTCAACCTCATTAGTCAAAGCAGAGATGCAATGATGAGGTGAGGTGATGGCTTGTAGTAGCTTGTCACCAGAGCTTGAAATGAGGGGTGTGATAAATGCTTACATCAAATTTATGAGGTGCAATATGAATATTCAACAACAAAGCAACAATGACATGTTGATGACATTACACATGCACTAAAATGGCTAAAATTAAAAAGACTGACAATACTATTAGCACAAATGCAAAGTAACAACCCAGAAATTTCACTCTAGGCATGTATCAAGGAGGAAAGAACATGTCCACACAAAGACTTCTGCACAAATATATTCACAGATTCACTCATAGTAGCCAAAAGCCTGAAAACGACCCTAATTTCTGTCAGTTGAATGAACAGATAAAATGGGGGACATCCTTGCAATGGAACACTATCCACATATACAAAGAACTGACTGCTGACACATGCATCCGTCGGAATGAGTCTCTAGAACATAATGTTGAGTGCAAGGGGCTAGACATAAAAAGGTACTCGCTGTTTGATTTTATCAAATGGAAGAAAAGACACATTTAATCTGTAGTAACAGAGGCTGTCTGCAGGGGTGAAGGAGGTGAGTTGACCAAGTGGCACAGAAGGACTTTTTTGGAATGGTGAAAATGTTTCTATTGCTTGATTGTGAGGGAGGTTACATAGAAGCGTATGTTTGTCAAAACTCCAACTGTACCTCAAATGGGTGTGTTTTAATGTAAATTGCTCCTCATCAACTTGATGTGAGCATTCATTACATCCTTCATCTCACGCTATGGTGACTAATTATTAGAATTCCTGCCAAGTGCTACTCCCAATAATGACCATTACATTTACCAGTGCTACCAGGGCAGATCTGCAGCACAGTGATGTCTAAAAATCCCAAGACAGCTGGACAATGGTCCTTAGAGAGGAAGAGGGGTTCTTAGATATCTTCAAGTCAGTGGAATGTTCAGGCTCCACAGTGGGCTCTGGAGTGACATTTACTCTGCTGGGTGGCAAAGCAAATTTAATAAGACCCACTGTCTTTTGATTTCATTATTAATTCATAATTAATCAAACATGGCAATTAAGAATTATGCTCATAATGTGAGGAAGTTTTCTCCATTTCTCCACATCTTACTCTTTATGTTCTTATTCTTCCCACAGTTCCAGGACAGCCCCAGAATCTCAGGTGTAATGAGAGCACCGCAGAGAGTGTGATGATCACCTGGGACCCCCCTAAAAACATCACAGATCAAGGAGTGATGGTTACCTGGGACCCTCCTTTTGATGCATACTCTCTTTATTATCAGAATTCATCAGGTAATTTGTATAGAATTTCATACATATCAGGAAAGAAAACTCAAGAAATAGAAAGTACTAGAAATGTGGACAGAGCAGGAGAACGAGGCAGTTCTCTGCGCAGCCACAGTGAGGGCACCCCGGATGCCATGATTTTTCCAGCTGCACTGCTCACTGTGGACTCTCTGGCCTCTTGCACGGCTAAAGCCCAAAACACCCCCAATATTTGCCTATCTTTCTTGATCTTTGTTCCAATCTTTACACTCCAAAGCCTGGAGAAAGACAGTCCTTGGAAGACAGTACTTATTACTATCTTGCAAATATCATATAAATGAATTGCACTGGTTTGAACTCATTCAGGCCCACAAACAGAAACACACCTTTCAAAGCCTGCTCCTGCTGATTCACACTGGAATAATTGGGTGTATTAATTGGGTGACTATAAGCGATTATATACACACTTAGCCACAGAGGCCAGTTTGATGGGAGGTGGAATGTTGGAACATGGTTCTAGTTAGAATTAGACTTCTTCGGAAATAAATATACTTCCAAAAATGTGCTATGACTAGGTCCACCATAAGTCCTCCACATGAGAGGCTATTTAAGAGAACACACATCTTCTAGACAGCTTAAAGTGATCTAAAATGCTTGTGAGCATCAGCGGACCACCTCAGAGTGGACTCAGCAGGCAGGAGCGCCCACCTGCCCGTCCTTGATCTATGGCTCGAGGTCGGGTGGGGCCGACCATCTCACAGATGCCATGTCTGCTTTTGGTGGGAAAGAACCAGACATTCATTTAAAATTTTGAAAAGTAGCGAACCATTTCTCTTTGTTGTTTTAAAGTTTGAAGACATGTTGCTTCTCCTGGTTCTTTGAATCTTAATAATCAAACTCCTAAAGGAAACTTAAGCATGTGTAATTTTCAAATATAAGAAGATTCAAAAGCTACGGAGAAGAAATATGTGTCCTGTATGTGAAGTTAAGGTCATTTTCGTGGTTAGGTGTGGGAGAAAGGAGAAATGGAACCTGCGTGAAGATAGTCCAGCCGGACAATCAGACACTCCGCCTCACCGGGCGCCTCTCGCGCGCACTCTGCCTGGCTTCGGCACGGAACCCACGTGTGGTTTTCATTCCTCTTCTCTGGTTATTCATCACCGTATTTCTCAGTTTCAGTGCTTCCTCTACTGCAGAGTATTTTGCACGCTACAGGACACAGTAGAAGTGCAGGGTGGTGTTCACCGCTCCTTATATTCTGTACAGATTTTTGAAAGCCCGTGTTTGCGTAATCAGGTCAAGGAGGATGAGATGTAAATTTTGAATATTGGAGTTTATTTATAATCACTGAATTTGAATCATTGTTCAACACACGTGCTAATTAATTATATGTGTTTCTGAGCACCAAGGATGTGTTTATTTCTCAATCCCTCAGGTTAGAGTTGGCCTGGAGTGAGTGTTTTAATGTAGAGACCAAATTAAATATGTGGTGTCCTGACTTTTAACATCCTAATAAATGTTTCCACTTTTTCCTGAGGTCACATACAATACTTCACTGTGAAGAAAGACAAAACCACATACAATTTGCAATCACTGAAACCATTTACAAATTATAGCGTGTCAGTACTCGCCAACATCACCGGGAAGGTGCCCCGTGAGGGCCCTGCAGCGACGTGTAAATTCCAAACACAAGCGGCAGGTAAGTCCTGCGTATCGGCGCTTCCTCCTGAGATGGGCAAGGAGTAAGTGTGGGCCCGCCAGACCAGGGCATCTCTCTAGGCTTCATTTGGGGACCCATCAACCCGGCACAGGGGTTAGCATCTAGGGTTTTACGAATTTAGAATACAATAACTTAAAAATTATTATCCTGGGTTCTCAATATTCTTCAGGTGAATCATAGAAGTGTAAGACTGACGCAGGAGGGTATACTAACTGGTACAATTTATAAGATTTCAGGCAATTAAGTACCTAAGCAACTTAGATAAAAATGCGCCATTTTCTGTTTTCTTGAAGTATTCACTGCAGTCAGACACCCAGTGAGGTTTCACTCATAAGGAATGAGACAAACGCCTGCTTACCTGACCAACACCTCATAAAACATCATCTCTTGCTAGTGTTTTCTTCTCTTTTACACCAAACTACCTACTCCTTTACTTTCTGTCCCATTTTCCATTTGAGGATTCCTTTTGATGGCACTTGGCTCTTTCCACCCGCACGGCATCCCCAGTTTCTGGGCCCAAAACTAGATCTGTGTCTGAGGTGAATGCTGGCCCAGGGAGGTCGGGGGGTGGGGGGGAGCCTCGCTCTGTGTCAGGCGGCCTCCAGAGATCCTACCTGGCACTGTGTGCATGAAGGATGATTGTCTTACTCAGGGCCAGACAGAAATGCTCTTATTGTCATTTATTTTGGTTTAAAAAGTCCAGGTTTATGCTCCTGTTACTTTCCTGAATTTCTGTGATATCACAGAAAACAAATTCGTTGCTGCTCTGTGAGAAGGGAGCCCCGGGATCGTCTGTAGGCCTCGGGCCCCTCTTCCTCTCCACTTCTCCGCACCCATCTCTGCTTTTCTCTCATCCTGCGCACGCTCCTTGGGGCACCGCACACACACACACACACACACACACACACACACACACACACACACACACACACACACACACGCTGGTACCTACGGACCAAATAGAGGATTTACCGCGGGAGCTTTTCCATGTCTGTTCTGCGGCAACTTCATCCAGAAACCCCAAATGCACACTTAATATTGCTTATATGTTACACACATACATCGTCAAGCGATTGAAATATGCATTTACCAAAGGATTGAAGTAACAAAGTTTCCTCCTCCCGATAGCCCCAAGCAAGGTCAAGGACATCACTGTTTGGATGAAGTCTGATAACAGTGTGCGCGTGACGTGTACTGCTCCCCAGTTCTTAAATGGCCCAGAGACACTCTACAAATTGCAAGTCAAAATTGGAGAGCATGCGGTTCACAACGACACAAAAAAGGAGTGCAAATTCTTTGTGAAAAATCTTCAGTATTTAACAAAATATAGGTTTGAGGTAAGATCATAATTTCTGTAATGACTAAGGTGCTGATGCGCACTATGACGATCATTATGTGTTCCTTCATCAGTCCCCAAACCAGCGCTCGCCTGAGCTTGAGAAGCTCCCATGTCTAATGCCGTCACACTTTGAAAGTCTTGAGAGTTTGACTCCAAACTCTTTATCCCAAGTACAGAGAAACAGTGGTTTAAGGCAAATTTTTGTTAGAATACTTTTGACCTTCATTGTGATTTACTTGTCATTAAATCACTGCTCCTGTGTCCAGGGGCACAACATTTTATGCCCCATCGATGAGCACTTGGCCAAGTCTTTTATTTACCTTAGCTTTTTGTCTTTCTAATGTGACTTTTTTAATGACAAAATTGTGTTCAAGTACACTGAAGTTAGGAAATAGATATAAATATTAGGAAATGCCAGTGGGGAAAGAGAATTCAGAGGCTCACCCATAAGCTCCCTGTCTGCTGAGTTCGTCCCGTGTCTGTCCTCACACGGGAGCGCTCGGCTCGGGCTTTCCGTGCTGCTGTCGGGAGAGCCCTCGACCCCGGCCGCCTGCCGCCTGGGATTCTTGCCTGTGAGTCTCTTTCCTGGTCACATGGATCATTTTACTTCTGTCACTTCTGGCCACCAAATGTGGGGAGGTTTTCCCCCACCTCTGGCAAGTCTCTGTGACACCAGTTGCATGTCCTACAACTTATTTCAAATCTGACACCTCTGGCCGGAGAGAGCATCAGATCCCACAGGTTAAGGGTTCGGATCCACAAGACTGTTCCAGATGCCAGTTGTAAATAGTAGGTCCCGAGGTTACCCAAACTTCTGACTAACTTGCCTACAAACTGGGGTTCCCACAACCCCCTCTTCGGGTTCCATTAGTTTGCCAAAACGGCTCGCTGGACTTAGGGAAACACCTTTACGGTTTATTAAAGGATACGATAAGGGAGACAGGTGAGCAGCCGCATGAAGAGACGCACAGGGTGAGTTCCGGGGGGTCTTGAGCTCAGGAGCTTCTGTCACTGTGAAGCTGGGGTGCATCACCTTCCCGGTGTGTGTGTCAGCCGACTGGAAGCCTTCTGAAATCTCCCTGTAAACCGGGGACTTTATGGGGGTGTCACCATACAGGCACGATCTCATTAACTCTATTTTCTGTTCCCCCTTCTCATGAGAATGGGGCTCGGGCTGAGAATTCCAGCCTACTGATCACGGCCTGGCCTTTCTGGCGACCAGCCCCCTCCAGGAGTCCCCCCAGAGCACCTGGGTAGAACGACAGACGCTCCTGTCACCCAGAAAATACAAGGGTTTTCAGCAGACCAGGGCCAGGAGCCGGGGGCAGGGAGCCACTGGGTATCTTCCCTGATCTCACGACTGCCATGATATGTGACACACACTTACACACATCAACGTTCTGAGTATGCAGTTTGATCAACTGCACTTTTTATAACATGAACCAACGTTCAAAACAGACATTTTTCTGTGTTGAATATTCTCTATGTAATTTTTAATGGTTGGATACGATTCTATCACATTCCTTTGTCACATCTACTAACTGTGCTTTTTCTGATCTCTGTTATAAAGAACAATCAGTAAACAAAATTATTGATAAGTAGTAAAATCTTTGACTATGTCTCTAATCAGGTCTGTTTGAAAAAATCCTGGAAATGGAGTTATTGGATTAAAAGAAATTCCAGGTATTTTAAGTTGATTTTTGGTAACTTTTTTTCCTGTAAAGTTTACCAAATTACCCTTCCCCGGGCAGTGTGTGTACGTCATGCTCTCGGGAGTCTCACCAGCCTTGGTCACGCCGTTTCTCTTTGATGCTTCATAGGGGAGATACCGCATTAGATCGCCTTTTGTTTTAATAGTTTCTTCACTTACTGTCAGGATATAATTTTTGTTGTTACTCTTGAGGTAACATACTCTATGTCCAGTGCTCTTTGGGGAAGCCTTTTGAATATCAAAACCTTTGTTATATGAGTTGCAAATTCTGTTTCCAGTATATAGTTTGCCATCTTTTTATAGCGCTTGAAGTCATATGCAATTTTCCCTTTTATTTTTATTTTTTTATTCAGTCAAATCATCACTTTTCTTTCTGGTTTAATGGAATTTCCATAGTTGACTGTTGAATACGATGTTGACAACTGGCTTTATATCCATTATCACTTAAAGTATTTATGTATATATATAAGCTTTCTTATTTTTTTAACCGGAAGGTTGGCCTCTAGAAAATGTGTTTATGGTCCTATATTCGATGATGAAATGATGTGATTTGTGATATGGTGAATTATAGTGATCGGTTTTCTAATTGCTAAACTATTGTCACAGTCTAAGACAAAAATCCTCCGTTGCTGTGTATTATTCTTTTAAAGTATTATCGAAATCAACAGCTTAGTACTTTATGAAGTCTTTATGAATTGCCATTATAAATGAGCTCAGGTTCAGTAAGGGGTAAAGGTGGTGGTAGAACGGTCTTCTTTTTTTTCACCGAAGTTCCCATAATTTGTTTTTAATCCTTCTTTTAGTCTCCATTATTACATTTACCTCCATGAGGAATAATCATTTTAGCCTTATTCATCGTTGTGATTTCGGGTTAATAAATTAATAGCTGTTTTTATTATTGCTAACTTTTTATATTTCTTCTTTGTAGGTTTATTTTGATGTTCTTCTGGTAGTTTTGGGATTGGAATTTTAAAAAAATTTCTCTCATTTTGTAAACTGAAAAATAATTAAAATTATGAATTGTCCTGTGGTAAAATATTCACTGTATCCCATGTCTATAGCATTTATCATTAATTTTTCAAGGACTGACATAAAGTGTAATGAGTGGATCTGTAGAATAGAATGTTATTATTTGATGATTTCTAAAGAGTTGGTGATTACAATTTGGAAGAGTTAAAAAAATTTTTTTTTAAGAGAGTGCCTCTACACTTCTGGTTCTTGAACTTCTTGTTGGTATTTGTTATTAGTCTAGCGACACTAATTAGCTTTTACAACCTCTGTCTTTTAGAATTTATAGGGCATTTTTTTTACAGTTCACTGTATGATGAATGTTTATGAGTATTCTGTGAGTACTGGAGAAATTACATATCCTCCATAGGCTCATATATTTTCCAGATTTGTATTTATCATTAGTTCCTTTTAATGAAATAATTCAGATCTACATTTACTTAAATTTGATTTTTGTCAAAGACTCCTACTGGTTTCTTTAGCTCCTTCCAGTTTTCCCTTATATGCCTCAATTGTTTCAGCTTTATTTCTACTCAGTATTATTAAATGCAGGTATTCATGCTAGTTATGTCTATACTGTAGATTTTAGCCTGAACCACTTCAGGGCATCAACCTGTATCATTTTAACCTTTGTGAGCTAAATATCACTTTAATATAAATACTGTGATTTTGTACATCATGTTGTTTCCATTTACCCTTAAAAATGTTTATGTGCATTTGGGTATAACTTATAAACCGCATATGTGGTAGAATATCCTTTTTAAATACAATGTGGAGGTATAAAGCCCATCAAGAAGGATTTTTAACTTTAAATCATTAATATTTTGGTGTCTTGGATTTTATTCCTTCAGTTGCACTCATTCTTGCTCATATGATTTATTGTCATCATTATTATTGTAACTAAGTGAACTAGGTTTCTTTCTACCTTTTCACTGCTAAGTATTTTCTCTTAAAAAATGTTTGACAACAGAATACTGACATAACCTTGAAGTTCAACTTGAAAACTAATTTTCTAATTTTTCAATTAGAAAAACTATTTTTTTCTTTTCTTTTTTTTCCTAATGCTGAAATTCAGGTCCTTTTTAACAATGGGAAGTTTTCTGGGCCTCCAGATGGCGTTTTTCAATCAACATCTTGTAAGTTGTTACTTGGCTATTTATTATATTTTTATTAAAATATATGTGAATACTTGCACAGTCATGGTCATATTTAATTATTACATGATTAAATTATATATTTCCCATTAGTATAATACTTTAAAGTTGCCTGAAAATCCATATGTAGAGGTAAACATCATATTAAAATACAGAATCTTAAATTTAATTCAGTTATTAAAAGATTGTTGGTTTCATAAAATAATTCATAAGAGGATTGATCTGCCTAGACTGTTATGATGACATTTATGATATTTCTTCATGTAGTAACAAACCCATTTGTTCTGTGGACTGTTTAAGGGATTGTGACCTGTTTTATTCTGTCTCTCAGAGGCATGATTGGCAACAGCAGGTGTAAGACACAAATCTGAATCACCTAAAGGGAGCTAAGAAAAGCATCCCTTAAAAAAAGATGGCTATTTAACATTTTATTATTCATGTTTAAAAATATTTTAACCAAATACAGGTGCATATAGGAAAAACCACTTAAAGGGAAATGGCACTATAACAATGAAAACAGCAGCTCCGGGCCCCACCCCCAGCTGCTGGCGTGCTGGCCAGGACCACCGCTTGTCCCCTCTTCGGTTCTCAGTTCTCCTACAGTTTCCCCCATGTATGTACAATACTGCCTGCTGCTCTTTCTAGGATTGTAGCTTTGCCGATAGCCCCCCATGGAAGGACATCTTATGCTGGTTTAAGCCTTCTCTACATGTTAGCTTTGTAAATTAAATTAAATGATTTAAAGGTAACTGAGGGGCACTAATCAATTTAGGTAATGACAGGTGCTTTAACAGATGAACCCTCCAGTCCCAGTGACTTGACAGAATAGACAGGTATTTCACACTCCACACGGATCGGTGGTGGGTGTGTGCATGTAGAGTACGTGTGGAGGGTGGGCTCTGTTCCGCACACTCGTTCAACACACCAGGCTGACAGAGGGACGCCCGCTGCCTCATGTGGCTTCTGAACCTGCTGTCATGACCGACACCCAGCCCCCAGAGCAGAGAGGACCACTCCAGAGGGTCCCCAGAAGTCTAAGCACCAGCCCGGAAGTGGCATGTGTCACTTCTGTCTATATCTCGTTCCATGGCTGCACTTAACACAAGGAAATTGGTCCAGAGGGAAAGAAACGGTGTGGGGCTGGGGGTGTGAGAGTGAACCCGTCCTGACACGGGCAGGAGGGTGAGGGGGGGCGGGAGGGCAGGAGGCCTGGTGGTCTCAGATACACTGAACTATACTGACCTACCCCAGGCAAAACCGCGGGGTGGGCAATGTTCCGTGTTAGTTTTCCATTGCAGCCTAACAGGTCCCCACAAGTCTAGTGACCTCACGCAGTGCCCGTTTACTAGCTCACAGCTCTGCAGGTCAGGGGGCGATGCCCAGGGCATCACAGAGCCGAGCCGATCTGGAAGCTCTGCCAAAAAATGCCTCCTTCTCATTCAGGCTGACAGAGGCCACTTCCTTTCTGTCTGGGACTGAGGACCCCACTTGCGTGGGGGCTGCTAACGAGAGGCCACACTTAGCTCCGAGGGGCTGTTCACAGATCCCGCCCACAGGGCCTTCTCGCTCTCAGAGCCAGCAAAGCACGTCGACTCATTCTGCTGCTCTGAGTCTCTGGCGAACCTTTGCTTTTAAAGGACTCACGATTAGGTCAGGCCTACGCAGAGCGATCTCCATATGCTAAAATCCCAACTGAGTTAGACTTTAATACTCTCTGCAGATCTCTTCACGGCGGTACCTAGATTGGTGTTTGATTGCATTTCCAGGACCGGGACATGATGGGTCCGTTTTACAATTCCACTCACCACATGTTTTCTTCAGAAAACTCAGTGTTCTCAGCCTTCCCCTGCTTCGCTTCACATGTACTCAGTTCTGTCTTGGAAACATGGTTTAAAATGATTGCTTTTCAGTTTCCTCATCTGAAATACTGAGAACCCCAGTTCCCCCCCTGCCGGCATTAACCGCAGCAGCCTTCTCAGCGCTGAGGCTGAGCTCTCCGCTCCCTCCGGGCACAAGTTCACAGCCAGGGTTCTGATCGCTCACGGGACCCCTTGACTCCATCAGCCTGCCAGGCGCACTGATGCCGCAGCCTTCTCCTGTCTCCTGAGTCATTGTTTCTGCCCCTGCCGGGGCCTCACGGGTGCCCAGCTGTTAAACACAAAGGGCAATACCCACAGTGGTGCTTGGGGCCTATGTCCTCTCCGGCTACCACCCTATTCCTTCACCCCCCGCCCCTCCCGACAGTGAGGAACTATGAGAAACGACATCCTGGCTGCTGTGGCTCTGCTTTCCCTCGGCCTGACACCCACCCCACTGACCCTGCTCTTGTCGGGCCGGGCGACGGTGCCCCTGACTGGAGTCGGGCCAGTGCCCGGTCCTCGGCGAGCCAGGCCTGCAGCCCCGCGGGCCACCGCTGCTCGCCTGTGGATGGCCCCTCCTCCTTGACACGCTTGCTTTCTGGCTGCCAGGGCCTTCTCCCTGCCCCACTCGGTCCCCTTGGCCAGTCTGCGTTCCCTCTCCACCCTTTCAGTGCGGGAGTCCCAGGACTCAGTCTTGGGGTTTCTCTCCTCTCATCTAATTTAAATTTCCTGGTGAATCATTCAATCCTATAGCTTTAAATAACAGCTCTATGTTGAAGACTCTCAGACATATGTCCAGTGCTAGACCCTTTCTCATAAGATTTATGGTCCAAGTGTCCAGATCTACACATCCAGCCTCCTGCTTGGCATCTCCACTTGGGTGTCTAATTCTTCTTTCAAACCATCAAATCCAAACCTCAGCTCTGGTTCTCCCCTGGAGCCCTGGTGCCCCCACAGCCGCCCTGATGGCCACTGTGATGCCACAAGACTATTTCTGCTAACTTCAGAGCTACCAACCTGGCCTGAACTGGTCATATTTTGCCTTGGAGGATGGCATCCTCCACAGTGCCATTAAAATCTGTATAAGGCATAAGTCGGGGCATGTTTCTCCTCTATTCAAGATTCTGCAGGTGCTTTAACTAACACATTTAACTCAAAATGCAAGGTGTCCTTAAAACGGCTTACAAGGCCCTGAGATCTGGCCCTTGCCCTCGCCCACTCCCTGCCCCCCTCTCAGGTGGCATCTTGCACTGCCCCCTCGCTGGCTCCACTCCAGGGACACTGGCAGTCTTGCCCACCTTCACACCTGCTGGGCCTGCTTCGGCTTGCAGGTACTCACTGCACCATCCCCTGCCTGGAACACACATCCGCAGATACCCGCTCACTGAGTGCCTTTCCACCGTCTCTATCATCTTCACCATCTGCTTGTTTATTGCATATATTACTCACTGTCTGATTTTCCTCCCAGAAGATGAGCTCCCGGAGGAAAAGAATCTTTGCATTCTCCCTAATCTCTTAAGTACCTAAGTCAGGGTTTGACACACAGAAAGACCCAAAATATTTCTGTGTGCATCATGAACAACTAGTACAGACTATTTCCAGGCACTCTGTTCACTGTGAATCAACCCATTTCACCTCATTTTAGGAGTTTGGGAACAGAGACACAAAAATAATGATTCCGGCCAAGGCCCCAACTAGGCAGTGGTGGGGCCTGGGACCTAAGCTGTCCGGCTCCAGAACTCAGGCTCCAGGGTCGCTGCCCTGTGTTCTTGCACTTTCACTGTATAGGAAAAGCGTGCTACACCGATTCAAGGCCAGGGCTGTTTCCGAGACACTCTCTGCCCTTTCTCCAGGGAAGGGCATGGTTTCACTTAGACCGCAGTGAGACTTTATGTCAGGGTCAGTCTGACCTTAACTGGAATGAAGCAGGTTTCATCCCTTTGTTGATTGGTTTTATGCTACAATGAACAGGCGAGAAAGTTTATCTTTGGGGAGTGGAGTTCTTTCTGGTCCTCTTAGGAGGCTCCCCACTTCTGAAAAACAATTACATCTAAACGATAGTATCTCATAAAAGGCCATCATTTAATGGAAGAGAATTTCTCTTCTATATTCCATTTGTCCCTTAAGATACAAAGTGTTTTCATTGGTTCTGAAAAATAGAGGCAAAATCCACAAAACCAGAAATTTATTGTATTTGGTCTTGTTCTAAAGATTTTGATTTTGAAAACCTCTGAAGAAAATCAAGATATTAAAATGTGAGTTCTTTAAAGGTGATTAGTCAAAGACCTAGTAATAATGGCATTGGACATAATAAGCTCTCTTCCCGTGTTGTTTTTCTAGATAATTCTAAAGCACTGATCATATTCCTGGTGTTTCTGATTATCGTGACATCAATAGCCCTGCTGGTTGTCCTCTATAAAATCTATGACCTGCACAAAAAAAGATCCAGGTAAGAGGTGATTTCAACGTGAAAAAATAATAATAGTGAAGTAATAGCCATGAAGGCAGCTATTTCCACGAGGCGTGTGGAACCAGTCGGTGCAGGAGGAGATGGCGTCAGGCGTCCAGCTCGCAGAGGGCCGGGGTCGTGCTGAAGGTCATGGTCTCTATGTCCACTG